GGTACATTGTGTTGAAATCAGCAACCAGGAAGTTGACGTAATCGACACGGAAGTGCTTGGCGGTGCCGAACTATACCGGCAATGTAATCTGTCCTAGAGGTAGGGACGCTTTTTTGAGAATGGTCCCCCCAAAATGGATAGTCCATAGGGGTGAGATCTTCCTTCTTGAGCCCTAGCTCCTCTAGGGACTCGGTAAACAGGATGTTGAGGCGCTCCCTCCGCCGATGAGGACCTTCTAGAAGCGCACATCCTTGATGATGGGATCCAGGATGAGTGAGAAATGCCCTGGATATGGGATGTCCGACCACTAGTTGTCCCTTGAGAAGGTGATCAGGTGCTCTGACCAATCAAGGTACTTGGGATCAGTAATAGGACCATCATATGTAGCGACCGACAAGATGCATCGAGCTACAAGCTTCTGCTCACGCTTGTCCTCGGAGACAGCTCTCCCACTGAAGATAGTGGCGACGGCCTTGGTGGCATCCTAGTAAGGAGGGCCCTTGCTCTTGTTTCGATCTCCGCCTTGGCCATCTTTGGTCTCATCGTCGTTGAGCCATTGCCTTTTCGTTGTTCGTCATGGAATGCTTTATTCTGGCCTCTGCACTCTCCCATGGTGTGCTTGGCATCCTTATGGATAGGACACATACCGTCCATGAGCTTGGTGTAGTCAGCGTCGTAGGTGCACTTAGCGCATGCGTTGATGGTGTTGATGGAGTTGTCAGGTCTGCGGTGGTGGCCCTATCTGCCTCTCGATCCCTTTGGGTGGTCATCGCGCCGATGCTCGAGGTCATCTTGGTGGTGTTCACGATCGTCATGGCGGCGGTCATGATCATCGCGACGGTGGTTACGATCATCATAGCGTCTCTCCTTACGGCGATCATCATCGCGGCATGAGTGGCGGTCAGGATGGGCGGCCTGTTCGGCTTCCTTACCATTCGCGTAGCCATTTGCAATTTGTATCAGTTCGCCGATGGTCGTGGGCCTCTTGCGGTACAACTTTCCATGGAGCTGTTCGTGCTGTAGCCCTATAGTGAATGCGGCGATGGCCTCGGCATTGCTAATGTTGGGCACGGAGTTCCTTGTCTCTGAGAAGCGCCTGATGAAGTTACGTAGGGACTCCCCGGAGGCTTGGTGAAGCTTCTCAAGGTCATACTTGGTGCTGGGCTGCTCGCATGTAGCCATGTAGTTCTCAGTGAAGACCTTTTTGAGGTCATCCCAAGATCATATGGAGTTCTCCCACAAGCTAAGAAGCCAATTGTTCGTAGACTGGTTGAGCATGACAGGCAAGTAGTTTTCCATGATGTCTTCGCTTCTGCCCATAGCTCTCATGGCGATCTAGTAGAGAGTTAGCCACTAGGCAGGGTTTGCCTTGCCGTCGTAGGTGTTCACCCCGACGATCTTGAAACCCATGGGCCATCGGATGGCTCAGAGCCTCGCTGTGAAGGGTCAAAGTCTGGAGCAGTGGACGGGGCGACGCGTGGTGCTCGGGGCACAACAGGTGCTCTGTGCTCTTCATCAAACTACTGCCGACATTCCATCTCTGCCTCATACCGCGCGCACCTGCTATTCTTGATGTGACCTCGTGCATCGAGATTGGCGTTGATGAGCTCATGGGCATCGCGCTGGGGGGTTGATTGGCCTCGCAATTGCCGCCCTGGCCTCCCTAGGGGAGCAGAGGGCGCCCGTCTTGGCGTGAATGTCCTTCCTAGTTGCCTCCGGATCCTCTATAGAGATAGGGGCCACCACCTTGGTGTCGAGGGTGCTTGATGCCTTGATGTTGACTTCCTCCGTCGTGGTGGGAGCGGCGGCTACGAGCCGACACGGTCGAGTAAGATGGGTCGGGGTTCTGAAACTCGTCGACTTGGACTTGAGCTGCTATGATATGCGCTCAGACCTTCTCGAACCTCTGGAGTTTGGAGGAGTTTCTAGAGCTCGTTGAAAGCAACGACAAGATTGGCGCTTGGAGTTTGGTGGACCGGCTGGTCGCCCACCATGTTGAACTCCTCCCCCAGATTACGCCCCCGACATGGTGGGCCGTGTCCATCCACATCGCCCCCACGGGCCGCCTCTGCATCTCGGCGGCGTTGGCGATCGGCGTTCTTGGCCAGGCGAGCGTCGCGCTCGTCGGAGGTTTCACCGTCCCTAGTGGCGCTGTCGTGGCTGACGTGAAAAATCATGCCCCCAAACCCTGGAGGGAAAGTAGGGCAGCTTGATGCAGTCTTGGTTGAGCCCTCGGAGTAATCACCGGGGCTTTCTTCCAGGACGTCGTGGAGGGAGTCGTCCGTAAGCTGGCAAATGGCCACCATATTGACCACGGGTGCGGGCTGATTGGACTTAGTCAGATCAATCATGTAGAGGCCGATGATGCAGTCACGCTCGACGTGGTCGGCGAAGAGGTGGTGGATGGCATTCTGGTACATGGATCCCGTACCCCCAGCATGAAAGGATAGGGCTTCGACGGGTTCTCCATCAGGGCCTCGTAATTGGCCAGGCGTAGGCCGGTAGCAGGAAGTGGTCGGCGCCACGCTGTGCGCCCCTCTAGAGTGGCCATGATCACCAGATCAGAATCTGGCCGCCTCGAACAATGTGGCCGAGCAGGTCGCTCGGTTGTGGCGGCTTGATGATCTTGGAGTGCAGGAAATTCATAGCTCGCTCTAGATTGATCTAAGACCGAATCCACGAGGAGCTGGTATTCCGTTAAGCGTTCTATCACCCGATCGATGGATGTAATCAGATCGTTATTGCTGATGGATCTCCTAATCCAGCGGCGGGGCGTCGGGATCGGAGATGTCGTTGCAGGTGTTGGCGCGACCAGCGCAGGGTGATCCTGCACCGCCTCCATGATCTCCCCGTTGCCGTCGAGGCCGATGACCCAGGTCATGGATCCAACCGTGAAGATCTGGCCCGGTTCGAGAATGGCCATAGAGCTCGGAAAGCAAACCATCTGGCTCGCCATGGATTCAGCACGCACACCCCCTACCTGGCACGCCACTGTCGATGAAATATGTCCGACAGTCTACCAAGGGGTGTGCCCATGGTAATAGATGAATCGGTGGAGGTGCGCGTGAGGGAATCGGATGGTGACACAGAACGCAAAAGACAACGATTAGGCATGTTCAGGCCGTCAGCTTGACGTAATATCCAACGTCCTGTGTTTTTGTGGTTTGTATTATCAGAGTTCGATGAAAAAGAGGGGGTCCCTACCCGTCTTATATAGCCCGGGGATAGGGTTATAGGTCGGTTGTTTCTATCTTGATCGGTTTTCAAGATATGAATTACGAAGATTGAGGAATCTAGCATATCCGAACAGATTATCTTTAATCGCCAAGGATCTTCACGTAGTCTTACGAGGCATGCCGACCTATGCCGTACTTCGTGTGGCGTGGTCTTGCGGGCTGGGTCTCCCTGGCGGCTCGACCATGTACAGCCCTGTGAGTATCGGGGTTATACCCCCACGACAGCCCCGGTGGGACCTATCGTGCGGACTTGGTCTTCAACACTCGAAGCAAGATGGCTTGGGACCCCGGGTGAGGTGGGTGGGCGATGCACAAAAACAGCCGACCAAAGGATCTGACGCCCAGAAAATCAAGTGCGAGCAGGGAGAGAATCGCTCGATCAATAGATAGTGGGACCGTTCGGCTGTTTGTGTATGCAACTGTTACGGGCTGTTAGCACAGCAGTAAGGGCCCGTTTAGTTGCCAAAAAAATTTGCGCAGTACTCATCACATCGAATTTTGTGGCATATTCATGGAGTACTAAATGTAGATGAAAAAAAAACTAATTGCACAGTTGGGTGAGAAATCGCGAGACGAAACTTTCAAATATAATTAGTCCATAATTAGATACTAATTGCCAAATACAAACGAAAATGCTACGGTAACCAAAACCCCAAAAATTTGCATCTAAACGCGCTCTAAGTTTGTGAGAGGGGACTGCTGATGCAGCAGCGGCTGCTGCTGCCAAAACCAGCAGCCGAACACTTTGAGTTTTTTTTTCTGAAATTAAATGGAGACTTCATCACAGTACTAATATTATTATTGTGTTTGGAGCACATATATAATGCTAACATTACATAGTACTAACAATTGAAGTGAGATCTTTTGGTTTCAACTGGGAATTATATTAATGTTGCCAAAACGGATATGGCGGCACAAACCATTTGGTTTACATTATATAAGTAGTAACTTGTACTACTAAAACACATCATCACCATCGTAATCCAAACACAAGTAGTTGAAAATATGACCCTATCAAGCAACAGGATTTGAAGAATCGTGCTAGCTAGCAGCCTGTTTGGCAGCCTGTATTCGGCTTATAAGTCTTAGCTTATCAGCCAATGAATAATATTTTTCTCTCACACCAAATCAGCCAGCAGTACTTTCAGCCTGATGAATAATATATACGAGAATGAGATCACAAACTTCAAGGAACTTGCCCTCCGGCCTAGCTTTTTCTCTCCTCCCTGCACCTCTACCACTCTGTTGACTCATCACAGTGACAGGGCACCACGCAGTCTAACATAGAAAATTGATGTTCCGGAAGACACCACCCCTAAGCAATTTCCATGCTTTTGAAATGGTAAACATATGTAATAGACCGGAAGAAAGACTATATGACTCGGGAAACCGACGTCTAACAACTTCTGGTAGAAGAAGAGGTCGCACGTACTCGTAGCCGCCAGGCTGCACATGTTTCTTCTCTCGACAGATCCGTCGTCGATCTTCTGTTCTACACTACTAGATGATAACTTTCTTGCAGGAAAAAAAGTTAAGAACAAAGCTGGTCTAACATACTAAGAACGAGGAACAGAAATCAACTTTTATGATGACCAAATAAACAGTCTTCACAGTAGTAAATTAATTAAAGGCATTATTGGACCAAGCATTAACAGGGAAAGAAACATTATTCTTAGTAAGATGCAATTGTAGATGTGAGCGACGATGGAATCTCGCCTCCTCACCTCTCCTTCCGCTTCTGGAGGAACCTCTGCAGTGACGCCTTCATTCTGCCGATGGCTCGGTGGCTGCCGGCTTCTCTGCTGTCACGCGCACCACTGGGGCGCCCTTGTTATTAAGAGCCGCCGACAGCGAGGACCCCGAGCCGGCCATCTGCATCGGCTCCTTGGCCTTGTCGGCCGGGAAGTCCTCGAACACGAGCACCCGGCCCTCGTAGAACATGGTCAGTGCTGCCTTGCAATTGGCCTGCGCCTCCGCGCTGAAACAAAGCCGCTGTCATCAAATCATCCGATCCACCATGGCCAACAAGAAACTCTAACTCATCCGTCAAACATACAAGCAGAACAGAGAGCGAGCTAACAGAGATTAACGCTCACTGGTCGTCATGGGACGGCTGCGACGTGCCGGCGCGCATGGGGAACAGCTGCATGGCCCGGGAGTCCGTCGTAGGAGTGCGAACGTGACGGCGAACCTGCTGTTACTGCCAGTGGCCGCCATCTATCTCCTCCTCGCGGCTCGCGCCTCTCGTCGGTGAACACTGGAAAACCGTGACGTGGGGCACTGATCGTGGTGGTGCTTCGGTCTATCTGCCGTCGTCTCTCTCTAGTATCTACCTTGTGCGCACTATATCTTCTACTATAATAGACCAATCAAAATTACACTAGGTCTCTAAAAAAACGACTCTCCCTATAGCCTATAACCATTACGCACCGACAAAATTACACATAGAAATTCGTCTCCATCACTATGTCATATTAGGTAAACTGAGTCTTTATGTTTTTCACTATCTTGATCTTCTGTAGTATGTTACTGCTGGTCTCCTCAGGACAATATGCCATGACTATGACAGCACGATTTGGGATGTTAGCATGGTCGGGAGTTTCTTGCAACTGCTGTGTTGGTCATGTTCTATAAATGTAGCAGGTATTTCTAAAAAAAATGCATTTTGTTGATAGTTATAAAAAGGTCAAACCAGACCTGAGGGCATTCTAAATCCGATGGTCACGATTGAATGTGGGATGCCAAGCTTCTCACCCCCACACCCCCGTGCCCTCCTCATACGCCGCAACCGCGATTCAACGCTCCAAGCCAATCACACGGCCTGCTCACGGAGGACCTCCCGGCCCGCGGCGTGCTGGCGAACCCGAAGCTCGCCAAGGCGTGGTGCTCCGCCGTCGATGCCTGGGTTGAGCGTGTCGTGGCGCTGGTGGAGAGCGACTCGGTATGGTGGTCGTCCTGTTATCCCTCCTCTGCCCTCTGTCTCGATGAATGAAATCCGCCTCTTCCGCCTCTATACGTTACTGTTTTTTTAGTGTGTGGTAATTGTCTTCTGTAGAGAAATTCCCCACCGATGGTTGGATGGAAGTAGTTTAAATTTCATGGTCATGAACTGCAGCCAGATGGAATTAGGTTTATATATTTGTTTGCATTAAGCGGAATCAAGGGTTCCTCTGCTTCAATTTGAAATTTGAGGACACCAATGAGAATGGCTCCAACCACAGTTTACTGAATGGGTAGTTCAGAAGGACTGTATTTTAGTTAAAATGTGTTGTGTAGAATAAAAACTCCCGATTCACAAGGATGTACCCTACTGTATTTGGCATTATGCTGGCCGCTCTCTTGCCTTCATGCTGTGCAAAAAGGAGATTCCGAACCCTTAATTAGAAAAATTGATACATATTATTTGCCTGTGCTATCGCAGGCCACTACCGTGAGGAAATCCTGTAGCCCGCCGCTACTACCGGCTGAAAATCCTCGCGGATACTTCGCAATGTCTATGCCCGAAGATATATATGATGCGCTAAGCGATATCACTCACCAACATCGCAGGTATGCTTTCGGTATGTATTTATACAACACTTTTGGGTGTCTGTGATTTCCAATATATATCCAACCGCCCACTTTAGATGACGCCTCTCAGAAAAGGGAAGAAAGAAACATGCAGCAACGGATTCGTCGAGCTGAGATGTCCAGCGAACAAAGAGAAGAAATGAACAGAAAAAAACGTGAATACATGCGTGACTACCGAGCACGGAAGAAGGCTACATCCCAAAGTAGTAGCACTTCCTGTGCTTTGACTAAAACAATGCCCACAACAACACCCACGGGTACTTAATCTCTTCAATACTTTCTTTTTTTCTATATAATATAAATTCAACTTTTGTACAATTGACAAAAAAATATATGCAGGTACTAATTACTCTGAGTTGGACCAAATCACGCCAATTATATTGGACAAAAAAATATCCCACCAGATGCACACATGAATGATATGCATGTTGGCATTGGCACAGCGACCACCGACACAGGTATACTTTGAGTTTATTAATTATTTAATTAACTATTAGTAACTTTCTTTTTTTCTATATAATATAAAACCAACTTTTGTATAACTAACAAAAATATATGCAGGTACTAATTACTCTAAGATGGACCAAATCACACCAATTATACTGAACAATGAAAATATCCCACCAGATGCACACGGGAATCATAACCATGTTGGCATTGGCACCACGACCACAACAGACAGTGCACTATCTGTGGCCAACGGTAAAGATCACCTATGTAACTTCAAGTTTATTGTGTAAAAATAACTTATTTTAATCTCTACTATAATATATGCCTGACCCCACAAATGAGACCTACAGACATAGCTAACGATAAGATGGACGAAAGGAACGCGCAACAACGAAAATGAAGAGCTGAGATGACCGGCGAACAAAGGAAGAGAGTAAAAGGAGATACCGGAAGTACCAACGTCAATACCGAGCACGAAAGAAGGCTGAATTGCAAAATATTAGCACTGCAGCTGTTGTGGCCCAAATAGGGCCGGCATCCTCACCCACAGGTGAGAAATATCTACAACCTATGCATTTGGTCCACCACCTGATATATCATGAACATCCGTTCATATGTGAAGGTGCGAATTTTGGAACTGGATTATTGACTATAGTGGAAAATGACGAGTCAGCGGAGTTCGGCTACACAAAAATGATAATTATATGCCAGGGCGTAGAGGCCCACGTACGGTTCTTTCTCGACCATTACCTACTTCCGGCAAGGCAGGTCAGCACATCAACCACATCCTTGATTTTTTCTCTATTAACAAAATAAAACCATCGTCATATATTTTTTATTGTGCTTATATATATTATATAATATTATATATCTATGCAGAATTTCATTTGCATCAGCTGCGTGGCAACCATGTAAGTGGCGACAACAAGGGGGATGAATTCGACCCTGAACTATTCGAACCAACACATATTGGAGAAGACGGTGACGAAGCTGGCATGGACACCAGCCATGGATTGCATAACGAAGACTTATATGATGATGATGGAAACATTCATCGACATACGCGAGGTACCACAACGACATCTATATGTCATCTTTGATTTCTTGAGTGATTATATACGTCTTTACATGAAGCATATATTTATCTCTATTATATAGTAAAATAATATACATCTTTACATGAAGGATATATACGTCATTTTGATTAGTATAATGTCTCGCACACAGGTTATGATTATGAGTCATATCGCGTGCTTCAGCGACAAATAGTGTGACAGATGATCAATATGAACTCATCAACCAGAACCTGTCACATAGACATATATGGAGAAATGTCCCTGACTGCAATTACTGTAGTGCGATGAGGTTTCAGTACGATGAGTTAATAGGAATGGAAAGACTAATAAAACATGCAACAGAGCATAAACAGATGAAACCAAAAAAATGGGTAAAGAGTATCGGAGTGGCATCTTGGCCAAAAAAACATAAGAACATTAAAAGAGTGCAAACAGATGGGTAAATGATCATCTAACTTGTTGTGTATATGCCATTGTCGTACCAGCAACGATATCTTTATCATTTATATTTTAATTTTTCAATATTGCACAGTGTAAGTTGTGGTTTATGGATGATTAATTTTATGGAGTATTGGACTGGAGCTTCTTTATCTGACCATGTGACCCAGGTAATTTTATAGGAATATTTCTAAACATAGTCATTTTTTGGACTTATTAATACATTAGGACTTGCTCATATTTTTAGAATGATATAAGTAACTTTAGGTTCAAGCTACCTGTGATCTTGTATAACTCCTCGTTAAACATGGCGAGAGGGTTACAGGATGATGTGCAAGATAATGAGACCAACCATAATCTGGATGATGGTGTCATAATGCTCGATGATATGGACGACATGCCTATTTTATTGTTAGGTACAATAACATGGATAAACAAGAAAGACCTATTGTCTGCAATTTGTGCAAACATCCATTTGATGGCCGATGTTGAACCTTTAGAGTAAGTCATTCTAAAGAAATTTGTTTTATTCTAATTTAGATATTTTCATTGCCCGTGCTAGAATTGCTAGAATAAGTAATTTGTTGCTTGTCCTTGTTTTTCAGCAAAGAGTGGGTCCGAAGCACATGACCATACCCAATTTCTTTAAGTCCTAGAAAAATTAGAGATATTTTAGAGGAGAATAGAGAGATGGATCATGATTGCTTCAATATGGCTATTCGGATGGCTGCGCAGAAGGAATTCTTGTTGTTGAAGAAACAAAAACAAAAATACCACTTTATGGACCTCCAGTTTGCTGTAAGTTCATCTAATTCTTAATTGTATAATTCATCAAATAATTGTATAATTAATCAAATACTTATAAATTTTGCAAAATCAATGGTCCATAACCCAGTTTGGACGAAATCCGCGATGTTGTGACAAGCTAGACCACAAGAAACTGGCAAAAGTGCTCGAGTGCTGGCATGACATGATGTACAAAATTAAAGATTGCAGCAATGTAAGACATGTTCAGTGTACTCCTTTATATTTTATATTATATTTTATTTAGCACTTCTAGTCTGTGTCTATGTTTTTAGATTCTACTACCATATTATCGAGATGGACTATACACTTTATTCATAATGGACATGCAAATGAAAACTGTGCATATTATGAATCCACTCCCAGATGATGTATGTTACAAGGGTTATTATCAAATCATGCCATATATATCTATATTTCACACTATTGCTAAATGGTTCAGTCTCACCATGAAATTGACAAATTCTAAGTGAAATGACAATATTTATTACTGGAAGCGAAAATTTCCTACATGTGTTACAAAAGTTCCAAAAACTAAACACTGATAATCACTTATAATATGTTTCATCTTTCTTATCAAAAATTAGTTATTTGATTTATGTACAATAAATAAACAACTGCTTTTCTCCAGGAAATTAGGAGGCTTCCTTGAATACAATTTCATGAAGTCATGGGATGGTGTAAGATTGCCACTGATCAACACTGTAAGCATATATTCTCTAACTATATTCCATACGCTACATAAAAATTAATAACTTAACTTATTATCTGCCATGCACAACTATCAATTTCACTGAGGATGAAATTCTTG